CTCGCATGGTTGGTTTACAAAAAAATATCAAAAAAAACACACATGGGGCAGCCAAGCAGCATGCTCGCATGGTTGGTTGTAGAAAATAAAAGCGTCTATGTATTAAAACAGCGGGGGGGTGGGGGGAGACAACGGTTGGATCGGCTGTGCTATCAAGAAATGGAACACCCTTACCCAAACTTTCACGATGACATGCAGATGATGTGTGGGGAGATTTGCTACTACTACTACTACTACTACTACTACTACTTCTACTACTACTACTACTGCTGCTGCTGCTGCTGCTACTACTACTACTACTACTACGCCTACTACCACTACTACTACTACTACTACTACTACTACTACTACTACTACTACTACTACTCCTGCTGCCGCTGCTGCTGCTGCTACTACTACTACTACTACTACTACTACTACTACGATTATTGCTGCTACTACCACTACTATAATTCTGCCGCTACTGCGATTACTACTAATTACTACTACTACTACTATTACTACTACTACTACTACTACTACTACTACTACTACTACTACTACTACTACTACGACTACTGCTACCACTACTACTACCACTACTACGACGACGACGACGACGACGACGACTACTACTACTACTTATTACTACTGACTACTCACTTCTACTTCTACTTCTACTTGCACTTCTACTACTACTACTACTACTACTACTACTACTACTACTACTACTACTACTTCTTATATTTAGGTGTGCCATTATCTAGAAGCAAAGCCGACCAGGGGACAACAGGACCACGGGACCAAGGAACCAGAGGACCACAGGACCAAAGGACCACGGGACCAGGGAACCAGAATACCACAGGACCAGGGGACCAAAGGACCACGGGACCAGGGGACCAGAGGACCGCAGGACCACGGACCACCGGACCAGAGGACCGGAGCCTGTCAGGACTCGAGCACCAGGCGAGGCCTTGGGCGCAGAGGGCAATTTTTTTTGATCCTTGTGCAAATTTTTTTGATCCTTATCAAATTTTTTGATGCCTATGCCACTCTTGCCAGACCTCTCTCAAGGCTCGGGCTTCTTTCTTTTCGGAGAATATACTGGCGAAGCCCCCTTTGACTCCCATTTTGGCGGCAGTGTGGAAGGAAGTCCTCTAAGGCTCCAAGAGTTTTGCTCCCTTCTGCATGCTGTGCCGAGCCAAAACGACAGCCCAAGAATCTTCCTGACCTCTCGCAGCATTGACCGTCATCCCGCAAGAAGCCTCCAATACTACAGACAAGACCCAAAAATCGTACTGGTACTTCATTGCCATAGCCAGAACACACCCATGATCATCTATGCAAAGATCCCCCCCAGCTCGAGCCTGATCGAGCTGCGCCGCCAGGTCGGAGCGCTCGGCGGCAAGCTCTGAAACCTGCGGGCATCCAGTGTTATATTATCAGTAATATTCACACTTACCGCAAGAATTGACCACATTAGGTTTCACAAAGTTGTCTCTGGAGCTTGACGTGTAGGCATCTAGCCTGGACTGAGCGAGAGAGAGAGAGAGAGAGAATCGGGATTGAGGAATGGGTGCTGGGGCAACTTCTTGTCGCCTGCAGCTGCATCGCATTGTAACGCTCCCGCAGCTGGGCATTCTCCTGCTCCATCTCCTGCGGACAAGCTTGTCCAGGGTCTACCATGCACCTGCTCCGCGCCGGCAGGGCTACTCAGAGCTCCCGTCGTGTTTGGAGTTGGCACTTGGCATTGAAGCCGGTGATGCGGCCCCATGCTCCTGCAGTTTAGCAGCCGTCGCCAGGTCGGATGGAGACCCCAGGGGAGACGGCGGCGGAGGAACGGCCTCAAGACTTCAGGCCCCCCGGCCTCTCTACCTTTTGGGACAGTTGCAGCCCGATGCAGGGCTTGTGTACGGTACAAGGCCGTGTGCTCTGGATTTCCGCCTTTCATGCGCCAGCTATGCCCACAGCATGGGATCCTCTGCAAGATACACCCCATCCGACAGCAAGATCTCAGAGATCCCCACTTTCAACATACAGCCGCTGAAAGGCCACAATTCCAAGGATGGCACTGAGTTCAGAGAGGGAAGGTTTCCTCTTTTTCCGACCGTGGCCGGCACCTGCCGCGTCGTGAAGCCAAAGGTTGTGATAGTTTTCGATAGCCTCGTGGTCTGGTACTTTCGTAGTCTGTTTGCTGGTTAGGTTCAGCGTTGGCGAGCCATCTAACTCGGGCTTCGAAGTGGTGACCTAACACTGTCAGTTGCTTCTGCAGAAGCTGTCCCACGTCATCTCCTTGGTGCTGTAGTATTCCTGCCCGCTACATGCCAAGGACAGCAGAGAAGCTCAAAACAAGGCCAAGGAAGCAAAGCCAGAAGTCGCCATGGCGGCGATCGAGTCGATGGAGTTCCTCACTGGCAAAACAACTAAAGGATGACACGACATGCGATCAATCAGCGCTCCCGGCAGACCCGGCCCCATCATCCGAGCCGAAGCCGCCTAACCCTGAACCTTAAACCATCACTGACCGTTCCATAAACCCAAACCGAAAAGCCGACTCCCAAAAAACAAGAAAACCCCTAGACCCCATATCCCTCCATCTAAGTCTTCGGCTGATCCTCGATTGCGGACAGGTCAGCGTCGATGGGAACCCCGGTGATCTCTGCCTGGTTGATGGCTCTTCATCGTTGTTCTTGCCGGCACAGGCATTCGCCCTCTTCGCTCGGACCCTGCAACTCGCTGCCTTGCTCTATCTAGTGATACTGTGCCTAAGAAATATGGAGTCGAAAGAAGGGTGGGCCACTGAGCTAGTCGCCCGATGGAGCACCTGCGAGACGTAGACGGCGGAGAGGTTCACAAAGCCCTGATGAGTATGGATGAGTCAACACAGCCGGAAAGGGTTGATGTGTAAGGGACCTCAGTGTCCAATGTCCATCTGTTGTTTGTATGACTAATACCTACATTTTGACTGTAAGTACGACCATCCTATAAATACAATTGCAACATTCTTAGCAGCATCGTTAGTATATGCTTACTACACCCGTCTAGATCCTTGATGCTTAGGTCTCATCGGCTCGGCTAGGGCCTGCCTCGGCTAGGGTCTGCGAACATGTTTAACATGTTTAGTATATAGTATTCTAGCACATAGGGTATGGTAAATAACCTCTTGAGGATGGTGCCTGGCTCCGGCGCTTTTGAGGTCTACCTGAAGTGTGGGCTTCAGTGTCATGATGTGTCATGTATACAGTCTAGGGTTTGGGGTTTAGGCTCCACCAATGGCCGCCGTGCTGCTGCATCGGAGCAGGTGCGAGCTTCGGACAGGTCGAGGAGATGGCCAGAGACAAGAAAAGAGACTGACAAGACATCGGCAAGCAAAGTCGATCAGCCAGCTTTTGTTGCACGCTTGCTATGCTTCAATATCGAGGGTCGCCTCAGCCTCCGGCTGCATAACTGCATGCTTTGCAGGTGGCTTGGAACAGCAACTCAAGTATTGAAATTCACGCGTGCATGCCGAAGCACGAACAAGCACTTGAGCTCATATCCATTCGGATACGGACGGTGCGGAGAAGGCTCATCACGGTGGGGGTGCTTGTGAGCCTTCCAGGACGTGATCATCTTGAGACAGGCCTTTGTAACCGTTCCTCGCATAACCCTGCAGACTTGTCCTCGACTGTGAAAATCTGTAGTTTGGCTGGATGAAGAACGCCAAGCTTTCCTTGCAGAGCCCTCTGCCTGAGATCCCCGAGGATGTGTTCGGTGGCCACGCGCGGCACCCGCCCCGGACACCGACCGGTTCGTGCAGACGGCTGTGTGGAAAAGCCCATGCGAGAGATAACGAATTAACAGCCGATTCTCGGAAAGCTTCGAAAGACATATCTGACCCGAAACTTATACTTCGCACAGGCGACGAAGTAGAAGCCTTGGGCTTGGTGTCCTAGGCGGATAGTTTAGTTGCCCGATATCTTGCTAGGCCTAAGGCTCCAAGACCCAGAAACCTTCTTCAAGAAACGAAAGCGCCGCCTCATTGCAGCAAGCGCGCTTCAACTGACAGACACTCTCCGGCTGCAACATAACAGCAGTACGATACAAAAACGTAGATTCTGAAAGCCGCAGCTTCAAATGGAGAGGTGCACCTGAAAATGGAGCATGCCTAAGGCAGCTCAAACTATATGCATGGCTTCAGGAATCTCGCGTGTGATGGTTGCCTGCAAGTAAACAATAACATCTCTTGCCAGTGATGGCAAAATCGGTAAATTGCGTTCGACACGTTTAATTGAACACCGTTTGGGACGTGTCCCGCACCAGATGATTTCGGTTGCAGGGCATGATCTTTGGTTGGTGTTCCAGACGAATCTCACGCCATTGCTGGTGAAGAACCCCCACCAGAGGAAGGCTATCACGCGCAGTATAAACATCTCAGGAGAAAGTCCTTATGCCAGCGAAAACGCACCTCGACCTAGCAGTTCAAGCCGAAATACCCGACGATTGGCACCCCAGAACAAATGCCGTGCCGTGGTGGGAACACGAGTCAAGGGACTCACTCAGAAATCTCAGGGCCTGCCGACGAAGCAGACCTCCGTGAGAGATCGCGCTGATGTGGATCCTCAGACAGGGAAAAGCGGTGATAGATCACACTAGGTCAGCTTCGTTGGCCGCTTGATGTTCGGGGATTTCTAGCAGTTGCTTCGGGCAAGCCTGCTTTGGCGATTCACAAACGCCACCATCCTTCCATGCCCGAGTGCCAACCAAGCGTCTCTGCCTTTGACACATGTAGGTCCTGGGCATCAGAGCTACGCAGCCAAAAGAGCTGTACTGAAGAGGGATTCTAAGTCGATGCGGTGGGCCACGTCAACTTGGATGCTGAGCTTGAACCCACAGCTTCTCTGTCTATAAGGTCACAGTTTAAAGCGCACGTTCACCCCGAGGCCCTGCGACCCAAGACTTCCAGATGCCAGGTGGCAAAGAAACCGTACGCATCATCGAGGCCATACAGCTCTGGATGCCCTTGCTTGAAGCACTTTGCAGGCGATCGCACTCCCGGCAACATCTGAGAAATTACCAGGCAAGAGAGGTGCGATCTGACGTGATTCCACCACCGCCACCGGAGATGATGGTCGTGAAAGGAAACTTGGGCGCCTCGGTCGACCGAAACACCAGGATTAGAACCTATGCACTGGCTCGGCTCCACCATTCACATGTGATAAACCTGAGCAGACGTTTGAAATGTCCCACTTCCTGACTCCAGCTTTCACAAGCCTTGAGACATGCAGCGACGAAATCAAGTTCAAGATAGGCGAGGGGCAGTCTTGGTCGTCTCACCCTTCAGTGTAAGCTGCTGGTAGTGGCGATGCCCACTGATGAACAAGTCGATACCGCGCCTACAGCCAAAGGCTCCAGGGTGCATAAGGCACATGTTCCCAAACCACTCGTTCACACGTCGCCGGGTGGCAGGTGAAGCAACCTACTTGGCATGCAATTTGCTTAGGGCTCACGCATGGTGAACCATCACACGCTAAAGCTTCAGCTCCGCGCCCCGAAAGCGAGTGCCGAAACGACAGAAGCCATTCCGAACTCAGAACTCTGAAGTCTTCGTCCGAGTCGCTTGCGCCCCAACTTAACCCAGAACTTCGCCTCAGCTCACACTTCGGACTTGTCTATTGTCTAATGCCGGTGGGATGAAGGAATAGTTCGGTGTTTCAGCCGAAGCTGGAGAATCAAGACTACAGAAGCTCGGGTTCACGAGCACCGCAGAAGACCACGCGTGCAAAAGCTCATTGAAGCCCTCGCAGGACCCGGGGCTTTACATGCCACTAGCTGTTGTTCATCCCATCTCTGCTGGCAAGACTGCAGTCCCACAAAAGCCAGCACGGGCTCCCAGACAAGACACGTTGTACTCCGGCGGGAAGTGCGAGACAATTATCTGCCACTCCTTGGGGGAAAGGCAGATCCCAGGAAACCATTCTCAACTAGCCTCAAAATGAGTTTCGGTCCGCTATTCCAACTTGTTGAATTGTGTGTTCTCTAGCAGTCTTCCTCCTTCCATTCCTGTCCAATGTTCAAGCAACGCACAGCCTCGTGAAGACAGGGATCGGCAACTGATGCTTCCAATCGCTGGTCCAGCCACCTTGCAGGCTTGACCGGGTTCAGGCGCGCGATAGAAGTGAAACTCAAGAAGTGACGCTCTTATATAGGACGTCGGTTTGACGTGAGCACTGATGTCAAAGGGGGAGCATTCAGCACCTCTAGACGATCTGCTCTTGTTTGGAAGCTCGTCGCAGCTAAGCGACGATCTTCTACTAGTCCGACTCCTCTGCCTATCGACTTCGCTTCAACCATCACCACAGGCGCATAAGCGCGCGGCCTGCTCTGAACCTCCCAGAGGGTGCCGAACCAGCCATGGCAGGAAGCTAAACTGAAAGGTCCTGAGCAAAGAGACGAACGATGACCAAGGAGTCAAGTTTCGGAGTTGGGGACCGGGGTCCACTGCACTTTACCTCGGCCACGCAGACACTCCTTCCAAATGGAATGACCCCACACACCAAACGTAGCCCGGCGTCCAGTGAGTGGGCACCTAGGGTGTCATGGCAGGCGGCGGTGCTTCTGGGAAAAGCAAGTCCTAGTGTGGATCCTCGCAGCTGACGGGTGCAGACATGGAGCGTCGAGTTGTTGGCATTGTACTTGTCGCTACAGATGTTGTGTCCAACGGTTTTGTTCGGCTCCCATACGTTGTGGACGTTGCTGTCCTCGGGGGCAAGTCTCGGAAACTGTCGCCTGATAGCTACGCTTGGATTCACGTACTTGCAACTGAGGCATTGGCGAGAAAATAGTAGTCGATTGAGAAGTCAGGATAGCGCACCTTGACCTCCGTGTGATGGCCCGGTCTGAAGTTGCGAGGAGATTCTGCAGAGCTACACTCGCAGGAGATGAAAAGTCAAACCCTCCCGCGTCGTCGCATGTCGCCGCATCGCTGCCTTCCAGAACTGGGCGGGCGTCAGCCATCTCTTGGAGGCACCAGCCTTGTGCTTTTTTTAAGGAGCTGTGCAGAGTGCGACGTCACATCCGGGATGGAAAATCAGCTGCCTACCACAGCGAACTCAAAGTAATGCAAGGGTTCAGGACTGACTGAAAACTCAATGGTTAGGGAAGAGAGCTTTGGGCTGCATGGGTTCAGGAAAGGCGGGTCGAGGGTTTGGACCCGTTGATGTTTGGCACAGTCACACCCCTTCCACACTATGCGAGAGCCTAGCCAACTTCCCAAAACGAAGCCGAAACCTTCACACGTCCACAAACGTGGAAGGATACATGCCCACAAATGCACATCCAGGCAGCCACTCTATATGAGAATCTTACTTTCACAAACAGGTACAGACCCACACTTGCCACAAGTCTTAAACAGACCCTTGACCTTGAGGCTACCATGAAACCCAACCAAGTCCACGAGGCGTGATCTGCCCAGGTGTACCAAATCGTCTCGTGCCAGCCTGATGTGAAGAGGAAGCCTGAGTGGCAGAAACGGAGAAGCAAAAGAGCAGTGGCACATGGTGGATCAGTTCCTGTCGCACAACAAGTTCGCGCGAATTGGTTCGTACGTACGCAGCAAGCCGACAGACAAGCTAGCAAGGATTGAGTGATTCACTCAGTTCGGTCACGAAAAGCGCACACCCTCGGCTCACAGATGATCATCTATGCTTCGGTTCGTTTCGTCCGTTGGGTCATGGTTCCTAGGCAGTTGCAGGACGGGAAGGTCGCAGGTCAGGAGGCCAGGACAGGAGTGCTTGCACAGTCTGTCTAGTGGTAGAGTGCCCTGCGAGTTAGGACCCCGACTCAGAAACTGCGTGCTTCCCCTGCAGCGGCTTCAGCTTAGGGCTGGCAGTCTAGAGCCCGTAGCTTTGTTTTCCACCGTTTGTGTAGCCAGGTTCTGGTGCGGACCTTGGCACGATGACCCATCGTCGTCGATAGTCGAAAGACCCGGAAGCAACAGGGTTGACCCACAGCTGCTGGTTGGGTTCCCTGTACGACTGGAGGTCAGAAATAAACGGAAAACTGCACTCGATACAGCTTAGGCTTCACATCAGGGTCTTGGGTATTAAAGTTTCGCAGTTTCGGACCTTTAACGACATGTGTGGGCTTGGACGTTTTCTAAAGAGACCCTCTCGAGCCATGTCGTCTCATTTTGCAGCGCACGCCTGACATCGGCCATGCAACTCACAAGGTTGGAGAGAGTTATGAGAAGCGACAGCGGAAGAAGACATGTAATGCCCTGAAGCCCAGCGGAATCTCCCAGGATCAGCAAGAGACTGCAACCTCAGAGCTGCAAACCAGGCTCCACCCAAGAGTTGCTACGAGGGGCCTCCATAGTCGTGGTTCCCCAGGATTCCCAGCCACTGCCGTCCATCGATACCCGGACCTCCGCACAAAGCTTAGATTCCTGTGATGTTTCTGAGCCTGGTTGCGTCCACTATGCAGGTACTTTCCAGCCTCCTTTCTGGGATCCTGCAACTCGACAGACCCGACCATGACATGAAAATGCATCTGGTGCCAGGTCCGTGTCTCATCTCCTGGTCATGCTGGTGATCTCATGACAATTCCGGAAGGTTTCTGCCATGACTTCAGGACGAGCTTGTCGACCATGCGCAACTTGCTTCCGCTGCAGATGTCGTGCGTGCGATTTTCGTGCTGTGGGGTACTGTTGAGGTGCTCTGGCCTGGCGTCAGCCTCAAGACCGAGGAAAGACGAAGCGACTTGGCCCTCCAGGTTTCATGCCGGGGCGTGCCGGGGCACGTGGGCCGGCTCGAATCGCTCAGGCAACACATCTTCCCTTTCTGGCCACCCGCCGTGCACAACTCTTCCTAGCCGAGTTGGTTTGAGCTCCATGTGTTCCCTGCCAGGCGCACAACAGACAGACCTGACGGCTCTTTCGGTAAAACGCTCTTGCAGCAGACAACAGCAGCCCGGCTGGCCTGTGTACATGTCTTCGTAAATCGGCTGCCACCTTGGAAGATTTTCGTACAGGCCAGGCTCTTGGTAACGAGCCCATCAGCACCGACTATCCTAATTTAGTTACTGGTGGCTTTTTGTGAGCTACCTTAGCCCACTGTGGTTTGGTTTTGGTCGAGGGAGGTGTTATCATGCCTGAGCAGCTGCAGGCTGTGGTTCTGTTCTGTTGGCCAGGAATAGCATACCAGGAGTGTTGAATGTCTTTCATGGCCTTGATCCGAAAACAGATGGTCAATGCGGCTAGCCGCTTCTGCGATACAAGACTCTGCCCAGTCAACCCTGGTGCGTCCACTGAGTTTGGGTGCCCCAACATATCTGTAAGCATGGGACTGCATAAACCCACTGTTGTGTTTTAATGTTTCTGGGTGCCTATAGATCCGACCAAGGAGTCTTTGTTGCGAGCAAACTGGGAGAGGGTAACTACCCGCTTTGACCTGTACGAAAGAGAGGACACATGGGAGTTTTCAGAATTGGAGAAAAGTTCCGCGAAGGGGTGTAGACGCAATGGCGATCAGAGAAACTTAAATTTAAACTTAACATGAAAGGCGTCTAAGCTTGTAAGTTGCGGGAGATGAGAAGGGCTTGGAAGACAGCAATTCATGTTTCAACAGCCAGTTGCGGAATGCGGTTATTTGTGAGAAAACAGTCATGGATGTTACAAACGTCATGATGTCGAACAAGACCGCCGAACACCTACTGACCTACCGAGAACCAGAAGAGCTCTCACACAGCTTTCTTCGTGGCAACCCAGGCTTCGAGTTGGGCGCAGATCCAAAGCTTTTACTGTTACTTTGTGGACAAGTAGCTGGTGCCAGCTGAATCCGTTGACGATCGCGTTGGAGCTGCAGTTGCTGTCTGCACCGCCCCAATAGAAATTATCTCCTGACGTTCTGCGGTCCGGTGCATGCATGCCGCCTCCGCGCTACAAATTTTCAGCGACCCTGAAGATCGTCAGAAAGTCCAAAAACTGCTGTATTCCATACCTGCAATACCTGTAACACGAAGCCACTCCTTACTTTCAGGAATATGTCTACAGCTGACGAAACTGAGATTCACCTCTTACATCCCTATCTCTCCCATGCAGCACCACGGCCAGGAAGTGACGTCGGGCCTACATTGAGAATGTAGTCGGGTGCGCTGTGCATGGCCCAGTTCAGCATCTGTCCAGCCACCCGCTGCCTGCGGTCAAAAAGGATCAGCCGCAGCTTGCATGGTAAAGTGAGAAACGCAGTTCCAGCTGGCCGCTGATAGCATGCCTCACTAGACGAAAGGCATGGCCAGACTGTGGCAGGCTCTGAACTCCATGAAGCCCCCCTCCCCGGTTTCCATGCCCTCGAAGTGCTTGGGAAGCCACTAAAGCTCCAGACCCTCAAGCAGGCAGACGACAAAAGAGGCCACGAGGCCACGAGGGAATTGCAGCCCGGGCCACTGCGCGCAGTCATCGACACCTTCAACGAACTTCCGGTGCCTCTTCGGAAAAAGCCTTAGGATGAGGCGATGAGGTTTGCTGCTGAAAAGGACACGACCGAAATCTCCAGGAGGCTCCATCTGATTCTCACACCTTGATGTCCGAATCGCAACAGCCTGGGCACGTGGATCGATGGTCCGCCGGCATGATGGGCATTTCTGCCTCGAGACGCAGTGGTCGAAAGCTTCTCAGGCTCCTGTATGAACGAGGTAGACTTGAGTTTTTGCGGGCTTCGCAGGCGGCCAGAATGAGATCTCCAGGGCTTCAGCGAGTTTTAGACACTTGGTGCTCCAGGCTTGGATCTCGGACAGAAGGGATTGGAGTGGGAGCGCCGAGAGAACTCTGCGCAAGGAAGCCTCTTTGCTCTCTCTGCCGAGCTCTGCCGAGTGGCTGTGTACTTCACGCCGCCCCAGTCGCCTTGTAGAGAGCGCTAGCTCTTGGGGCTCATGCGGGGCATCTGAGGGCTCCATGTGACTCTTTGCAAAGCCAAAGACAGAGCGGCTAAGCGGCCGATCACGAAGATGTGCATGGAGGCATCCCTGGGCGAGGCCGAGAGTCAGGGAGAATTCCAAACCATTGCATCCGCTTGCCCACATTCCGCTCCTCTTGAGCACAAAAAGATCCCAAAGCGCCATCTGAGGGGCTTCCCGAAGCATGCATCCCGGAGCGCCTGGGGTGTTCCGCATTGGATGCATACAGACAACGTGGAAGACTGGCCTGGCCGTTGTGCTCAGTTGGATCTTGCGGTCGCGGAGGAGGCTGGAAATATCCATGTGAGCAATCCTGCTAGGCAGGGCCGAGGTCCCGGTCTCAACGTTCCGCATCTCCACCACAGCACACGAGATCTACACCCCAGTCAACCTAACAAGCTGCAATCCTCGTCTCTCGCTCTGGCCAACCTGCACAGTGGAGGGTTGATGAGGCTCCATGTTCTTGGTCGACAGGTAATTACACTTACCCATGCGCCCATCGAACGCACATCTTCCCTCAGATATAAAATGCGAACGGCTTCAAGCACTGCACGATTCCGACACAGCGCAAGGGTTTCGCAGTTAAGCGCTTGCAAACCACGCGCGGAGTGCTGCTTGCTGGCCCGAACGTCTTTCGTTGTGATTCAGTTAGCAACCGCCTCTACATGCACAAGAGGAAACAGCATACTTTCGCTTTGTCCCAACCTGAAATCTGATTTCACAGTAATGAAAGGGAATGCACCTGGCCGCCAAACAATGGAGTGACCATGCCAGGAGAAGCCGCATCATGGCTGCGGGGTCCTACTCCTCGACACTCTACGTAGTAATTCTAGTGCATTCGGAGTGAGTCACGACTTCTAGCAAGTACCTCTTTGAGCACAAGGCGGGAAGTTTCTCAAGCTTGCCCAATTACCTCGCCAGACTCGGACCTAGGTCGTGCTGAAGTTAGATCATGGAATGTCGAATGTAAGGTCACAGATACCAGATACGATGCATGTCATCGGTGTCAGACATTTTGTCTCCGTACCATGTCAAGACAAGCGAGGCTAACGCTGCACGGACAACATCAGATAAACCATGCCTGGGTCAAAATGAAAAGCCCCGGACTGCCGCATTTCTCCAACACTAGTCAGAAGCCGATCTCATTGAAAATGAAGTGTGGCAGAGCTGGACTGAAGAGTTCAGGATGGCTTAAGAGCCCAGACAGCCAACTCTTCATCAAGGATAACACGATGCAGTAATGCCCACGCCTGGCCTCAATGGCCTCTCTGACAGTTCCGATGACTTGCGCATGGTAGGCCTCCAGCAGAGCTTCCACCTGGAGACACTGAGACCGGGAGTGGCCCGTACGTGGCAAGATTCCTGGGCTATTTGGGTGAAAGAGGCAACGAAAAAATTAAGAATTTCAGAAGCTCAGCAGGAAAAAAAAACGGTCTCGCTTTGCCATGCAAACTCTCATCCACTTGAGAGCAACACATCCGTTCTGCTGAAGATCGCTTCGTCGTCTGCTAACCTGATCCGCGCAGGGCTGTGAAAATTCAGGTTCGACAGCTTGCGTGCATTTTGACAAAGTAGCTCACAATCTGGCGAAAACTCCCACGTTGTACGTACATTCAATCCTCAACTTAACCGTGTAGATGCACACACATCCGGCACAACAGCGCAAACAATCTTAAGCCGGTACATATCTATGCCGACGTGTCTGTGTGTGTGTGTGTATGCACGTATGCATAGGTGGAAAGATGAATATATGAGTAGATGAATATATGAATACGTGAAGGTGCACACTATGTGAATATGTGTTAATTGAATATGTGAACAAGTGTATAAATACAAATATATGACTGTATATGAATGTACGGTTGTTCTGGCACCCGGCCTGTCCGAGATGAACTCGGCCTTTTCGGACTCGCGGTCGGAAAGAAGCCGTTCGCGCTTTGCTGCGGGATCAGGATGGGAAATCTGATGAAGCTTTCAATTGACGATTCTTGTTCATCTTCCAACATCGATCAGCTATCAAGGCTGCGTGTCAGTTGGAACCTGTCATTCCCCTATGATCTTGTCCGGTCTCCCGGTGTGTCTACTGGAATCAAACATCATATGCTCGGAAGGCCATGTCTGCCGTGATGCTTCTGAAAAGGGGACACTAAAGCAATGTCGATGCCAGATGCACAATGCCCCTACATCGACAACCATGCCAACGCGCCACTCGCCCCTCGCGTTCGCAAAGCGAACACGGATCTCGTCAGCTCAAACCAGGCCTTTGAAGTAGTTGATGAATCTGAGAACCTGGGCCTTGTTCGAGTCGCTTAGCTCCTTGGAGGGAAGGAATCTGAACGAACTCGGACCGGCAGGGAACACATGTCGACTCTCTTTAGAGTTTGCCTTTCCAAACATGCATTTGGCTCAAAAAACATGGGGAGCGGCAGGATCACGCCCTTGCACATCCCAACGCTACCGAAGCTGGGCCCGGTACTGCCATGCCGGCGGGTCCTGAAAGTTGGGGACTGCAGTCTCTCCCGGAACGTGGCCGGCTTCACAGCAGCTTTCGCTGGGAAGAGAATGAGAAAAACTGGGCGTTTGAAGCTTCCACCGGCATCTCTGCATGCCAAATGGCCTTTCAGACGAACCGCAAAGATGAAACCCCAACAGAACATTGCAATCACAAGCAATGAAAAGTGCTCAACGAAGTGTACCCCTTGCTGTGTTCGGAACCGTTCGGGTGAGATTGTTCATACTAGGAAACACCTCCGGTCCGTCCGACCCCCAGACACCGAATGAGATTCCAGAACCGCACCCTGTAATTGGCCAATGCAGCCGAAGGTGCCTCTTTGGAGGCGTTGCTAAACGGCCCGTTCGAGCCAAAGGGGCTTGGTGAGAATTGCACCACAATGCCGACCCCTTCATGCCCAGTGTGCCTGCGGCGTATTCACGCAGTCAGTTCAGACAACATGTTTGTGCTGATGCTAAAGTGCACAATGTTGTTTTGTGTTGGTCGAAGTTTGAACAACTTCAGAGAAAGGACGAATTTTGTTTATCAGAAATCAAATTAGAAAAAGTAGTCATGAAATTTACATGACCGCTCTTTCAAAACAGAAGATATATAATTGAATCATTGCGCAGTTGAGCGGCTGCTATGAAAACAGGATAGACAACTACGTCAGCAACTACGTCGCTCCGCGAATTCGCCGTCTTTCTATTTTCACAATGATTCAAATACATCTTCCAAAACAAATATATAAGAAAGTACAGAAAACTCAATTGGAGAATACATGTTAAAATCATCGCTGAAACTATTGATAATTCGACTCTTGGACAGCATTCGGACTTCGGTCTTTTTCCCATCAGGGGTTCGTCACAGCAGGGCGAACGAAGCTCGGACGCATTAGTTAGTAGCGAGATGCTACACATCCGGAGTTTCGGTTGAGGCACGAGCAAATATGCGTTGAGATGCGCAATAGCTCAAAGTGCATAATACCGATTCTGCCCCAACACGCATAACCCCCCTCAAAAGTGACCGGTCCTTACTTGAGAGCAGCTTCCAACTCGGAAAGAGCGTTGCACGTAGAGGCACAGGTGGCGCCAACAGGCGGCGGCGACAGGTGCCGGCGGGCGGCGGCGACAGGTGGAGTGAGGCACAGGCAGAGGTGCAGGCAGCGGCGCAGGTTGAGGAACAGCCATACAGGTGGACGAGCGGCGGCGACAGGTGGCAGGCGACAGGTGGCCCGGCAACCGCTGGCGGCACTGCGGCGGCGGGCGAGCAAAGCTGAGGAGGAGCTTTCTTGTCGTCCAAGAGATGCTTTCATCGTCGTACAACAAAAAGTCTCGGCACCAGTATTGCGGCACTTCGAGGTTCCTCGATCCTCCTGCCTGCGGCGGTCGCAGAAAGCCAAGGCCTCGCCGAGGTCGCCTTTGAAGTGATCGAGAATGATGGACCAGATTTTGTACCGCCCCTCGTCCTTGTGCTGTTCCTCGGTGCTCCGTTTCATTCTCATAGCGCATTCGATCGCTCGACCGTCCCCGCCGGAGTACAAACCAGTGATCGTGTTGGACGTTCCGCACGCTTCCTGTCAAGCCCGCCGTGGAGGAGGAACGCGTGAGAAGGTTCACCCACGTGCCAACTTGCTACCTCCAAAGCGCCCAGAGCCATGCCAGGCTCCATCTCCAGAAGATCCTCCTGCCCCGGCCAAATTTGGAGGCTTCAGCAGCAGCTTGTCCAACGGCAACTCATCCAAAATGGAAGTATGAGCCTCCGCAGACTTGGCAGACGGGTGCAACAGAGTTCGGAGTTTTTCCTCGTCTCAGATGCAGCCAAAGCCGACTGGAGGATGGGCAGTCTTCACCCCTTTTCGCCACCCTGGCTTCTAGACTGCATCCAAGGTGATGTTGGCCGAGTGTTTTAGTGCTGTAGAAATTCCCAGTCCTACCTCATGCCACTTAAGGACGAGGTGGCTGTGGAAATCGGAGCAGACCTCGAGGCAGCGACACGCTTGTCGAAGATGCTGACGGACCGGCCAGATTTGTTCAGAAAGAACGCTCCGGCCGATGTCACCGCGGACACCGGGGCTGGGTTGCCATCCGAAGCTCCCACTGGGAACAACGACCCGACGAAGCCGGAGACCAAGAAGCCCAAAAAGACTGGCAAACCCAAGGCCGGTTCCCGGGCATGTGCTTTGGAGAAGGTCGTGAGTAGTTTCTCGGACTTGCGCGTGCCAGGAGAAGGGGCAGATCCCGACAGTGCTGCCGCCGCACCTGGACCTCGCCGGGCTGGTGGCCTTCAAGGATTCTGCAGTCCGCCTGAGGTTTTGCATGCATGTTTGTACATGTGTTCCAGCATGCCTTGAGGGAGACCTGGACGAAAAGCTTATCGGATGCACAGGCACGCGACGACCATGGTATGCGAGCTTCTGGACTGTGTTAACCGTTTCACAATGCATTCTGTTCGTTCTTGTTTTGTGACATATGAGGCTTGAGAACTTCGAGTCGCAGCAGAAGCTGCGCGAGCTCATCAACGCTGCTGCTGTGGGATTGTCGAACCTGAGGAAGGACAGCTCCTGCCCCCAACCCGAAATCCCGGACCCCAAACATATCTTCTGTGCAAATACTGGGATTACCATGTTGTCTGCAGTGGGTACGTGTGTGCATACATATATATGGTACCCCCCCCC